ATCAGTGATAAACAATGATGAAAAAAATTATAAAATATAAACACAAAATATATTAACTATATTTTTATTTTCAGGAAACACCTCAGGTGCCTGTTGAGTTATCTAATGAAAATGCACTCGACCAAGAAGCTTCAGGAACTAATGCAGCCACTCAGGAGGAAATACCATCAACATCAAAAATGACAAATACTAAAAGGCAAAGAAAAAGCTTAGACAAGGCTAAAGAAGAAGTACTGAAAAAGGCAAATAAATTACTAGATGATACGGAACAAGAGTGGGAAATAATCGGAAAATCCTTAGGACTCCAGTTAAGTACAGTGGATCCACAGCAATCAGCTATTGCTAACAAATTAATTTCTGATGTTATTTTTTACGCCAAATTGGGGAAATTAACTGAAAATGCATCAATTATATTGAATCCCGCAGTCCAGACACCGTACCATTACCAATATTCTTCGTCATCGCCGTCGTCCCGCCATTCAGTAGCATCTGTATCTACTCCAAGAGTGTCTCAGTATTCAGCCTCATATTCAGCACCTCCCAGTATTTCGATGGGACCAATATCCCTTCAATACTTGGCTTCAGGTTCGACACCAACAACAAATCAAACAGCAAGTTTTTACCCTGTCGACCGAACACCTACTGTCGTCCATCCAACAACTTTCGATCAACCACCTCCTGAAGATACCGACATAATATCTCAGTATCTTGTGTTTAAATGATTTCAATAAAAATTTAATTATCAAAAGTGTATATATTTTTTTTAACTTACCTTTATATAGTGTTTCAAACAATTGTAGATAGCCCAACATGTTTCTGGAATTATACTAGATAGGAGTTGCGGGGATATAACTGCGCTAAATTTTAGGTCTTCGTAACTTCTTCCGGTAGCCAGATACCTCAAAGTAACAATTAATCGTTGTGTGGCACTAACGCTGGATCTCATTAAAGTGTCTTGTTTGGCAATTAAAGGCCCCACCATATTAAGAAGTTCTTCAAAACAGTTACTATCCATCCGTAAAAAGTTTTTAAAGTCCTCTGCTTCCAATTCCTTCATTAAAATTGTATGAGAAAATTGACTTCTTTTTAGCAACCATTGTTTTGTCCAGTACTTTCTTCTCTTTTTCTTTTCATCAGAGTCTAATGTCACTAATGCTAATGCTATACCAATTTTTTGGCGCTTTGAGGGAGCCATGGTGAGATACTACACGCACTCGGAAATCAACAACTCTACTGATAAATTGGGATGTGTAGCGTCTACACCCAATTTCGTTACAAATTGTTCCCTGCAAATTGTACCCTGCAAATTGCCTCGTGAGTAGGCCGCTTTAGATAAGCACATGGTAAGCTCAGAAAAAGTAGAGGTGGGTCGGGATAAATATGTGGGGTTCTCATATACAAGGAAAAATAAGCAAAAAAAGGAAACAGTACAAGTAATCCGGATAGGTGCCACTAGTCTTCAATAAATATTAAGAGAGGCGGGAGGAATAGTTACTCAAAAGGGAATCAATACGTAGTCCTGGTAAAGTATTTATCAAAATAGGCTTCTGCAGAAACAACGGAGCTATAATCATTAAGTGAGTTTCAAATCACAATTCGCTAGTATCGAAAACCAAAATGTAATCAAACGTTAAAAGGGAAAAATGACGAAAATCACTAAATTTACCTTTGGATTTCCGATCGCAACCTGTTGAGCTCAAGAGGACGCGAAACTGCAAATATGTAATATACAATATATTATATATAATATATAAACAGACAGACACACAAACAAAAAATAAGAGGGGTTATAATTCGCGTTGCAATGGTTAACGTCCGACACGAGGGGTTATTCTTATACGTAGAATTGCAAGCAATACTCAAAAGAATCAAAAATACAAATGACTACAACAAAACAAAATTTGGTTCGACTAAGAGTTGCTCCTTACAATCGGTAGGAGATATAAAAAAAAAGAGTTTTATTAACTTTTAAGAAAAATACCATAAAAAGTACAATCTTATCAATTCAAATGCAAATAAACTTACACGAGCAAGTTCTTCGGAGCAAAAAAACATAACGTTAATTAAAAATTGTAGAAATTTACTTCGGACAAAGTCACGTTAATTTGAAGAACTAGATCACAAGCAAAAGTAGTTAATGTGAAGGATAACGTACAGTAACCTAACAAAAATTAATATCGGAGTAACAAAAATATGATGTCGTCAATCTCAGGTGGTGTTATCGTTAAAATAAAAAATTCTAAAACTACATATTAAAGCTTAAGGTGAGCAAAATTTGGTTCAGATGAGTTGAGTAATCATTGTTAGAGGCTTTAGATCATTCATTCAGAATATTTCCATCTTTAAAAATTAACCCTTACTGCGGTTTAATAAAAAAAAGTGTTTACACCCAAAAAGTGAATAATTTATTATTGACGACAGTTGTTCAGTGTGCATTTCGGAAGAAGTTCGACCTCCTGATAGATGGGGTATCAAACGTTGATATTAACGTTAATCATTTCATAAAGAGAGAGTGTTTGTATATTTGTGCAAAGGTAAGTTCCGGGCAGACGCGCACGTACATACATATAATCATATCAATATCTAGGTAAGTGGGGTCATATTCAACACCTGTGAACCTATTTTGTAGTGGAAAAAAACTTACTTTAATACTCTTCATTTTGATATAACCCATGGTTCTATTTTGTTTCTTTCATTAAAATTCAAATTTTCAAAGTGGTGATATTCTCTTTGAATCGCTCTGTATATGCATTACATAGTGTGTAGGTGTATGGAATGGATGTAAGTGTGTATGTAAGTTTCCAATGTGTAGTAGACGAAATACATACCGGTCATGTAGCATAATTCTTCGATTTGTGCTTTCAGAATTTTTCGAAAAAAATTGTGACTCGTTTATTTTTAATCATAACTTCTTTATTTTTCATGATAGAAGGTGCATTAAAAAACCATTTTGTAGGTTTTTACAAGAGCTACAGGGCTATTTACATCAAAAACCCTTTAAAACTCTTAGTTTTAAAATGGAGTGAGCTTAAAGAGTCAAAAAAAAGTAGTGCTCGCATATAAATACCCGTTTTTAACGACTAATATCTCACTTAAGTTTTGTCGTATAGAAAATTCCCGGCGAGAAAAATGTTTGGAATTAAAAAAGCTATGGATTGGATGTTCTAGCATTTTTTACGTATCTCCATTTGTTTTATAGTTATTTTGAAGAAAAGGACGTTATTCACAAAATTGCAAAAATTCGTTTTTCACTTTTCGCTTTAATTATTAGAAAATTAAGTCTTCTAAACTGGTCGCACTTCTAGAATGTATTAATAATACGTAATTACAGAAAACTGGAAAAGGGGAAGGACTAATTTTAATGAGGGTGGTAATTAGGGGGTTGCTTGCGCTAATTTTTTCCCTGAAAAAAGCACGGATCTAACTTTATTTCATCATAACTCATTTAACTTTTATGCTAAAGTTTGTTTTTAAAAAAAAAGAAAGGTTTTTTTTTAAATACTTTAAAGAATATTCCGAGGAATATTCTATAAATTTTTCTCGAAAAATGCATAGTTTTGCCGTTATTTGACTGTGAAACTCTCTAATTTAGCGTTTGACGAACAAAAGCTAACCTTTAACAAGCCAAAACTCCAAACTCGGTTCGTACTGGTCATACATCAATTATTAAAAAAACCATTTTCTTTGTTTTTTTAATTAAAAGCTACAATTTTGTTCTCCACGGTTTTTTTTATAAAATGCATACTTTTCGAGTATTTCGGGAATAACCAATTAAAAACATTGATCGTTTCTACGAAAAACTAATACTTTCGGTCGCGAATAACTGAAGAAGTGATTCGCTTACGGACAATTTGCTTCCAGGACAATTCCCTCCCTTGACAATTCGCTCCCGGAAACCGACCATACCACTGGATGCACTAATTATATCACAAGTATCTGCAGATACATTTTTTTAAAAACCACTCAACCAACAAAAACCTGGATGCGCTTCAGTGGCAAAGTTGGCTTTGTCATCCACCTGTAGAAAAAATTGCGTAGCGGTCGGTGGCGTAGATGTTGAACAACTACTCGGGGCGAAAGGGTGGAAGCAGCCATTAACAGAATGAAAAATACGTAAAATCGTTTGATTCAAGGGAAATTGTAGTGCAAACTATGGTTATTTTAACATTTTGGGTGTCGGTATACAGTGCTTTGATTTCTATTTATCAAATAATATCCAAATCTGTGTAGGTATACATAAAATACCACTTACCCGAGTTTAATTATCGTGAGTGGTTTATTTACAAAAAAGAAATATGAGATCTACACGCTTAAAACAATTTCGTTACTGGTAACTCTTCTATCTACGTTGTTAATCGTAATCTATTTCAAAGCTGTCAGTGTAAACAACCTATCAAGCAGCGCTGGGTGGTTTATGGAAGAGTAATCCAATTTGTGTCAATCTCCAACTTTATTAAGTGGTTAATTTCGGTCAGGAATTATACATCGCGTGATACTAGATGTGCTATCTTGCCCTAGATCCCAAACTTGAATCAATCAAGGGTTAAGGCGAGTTAATTTTCGAATACTCTATTTCGTTAGAGTTCACCTACGGATTTGTCAAATATCTTTCTAAATACAATACTGTTTTTTTTAGATTTGCGGTAATTATTGTTACCTCTTGAATTTCCCAATCGTACAATTTGGACCCCAACTTGAGGATATAAGAATGGAGTTTTACACACACGTATCTAACTATTGATTCTTACATGAAATGAGGTTACCACATTGCTTTACTATGGATACCTGGAAGACGAGGAGTTAATGAAACACATGACAGTACTAAATTTATCGCTTCTATATTTAAAGTAATCATTGCAAGGCCAGAGAACTGCATGTTCTTAGAAAAA